TAAAAAATCACTAAAAAAAACAAAAACACAAAAAAAAAAAGCCACAAAAAAACCCACCAAAACAAAAAACCCTATAGACATTTAGGCCTCAATCTCGACACCACGTCTGGATTGACGTTCTCCACCTTGGAAGCCAGAACGCTCTTGGCACGCAGCTAACATTCGCATTTCTTGGCTGTATCTACCCAATGCAACAGGCACCAAGCTCCCACAGAATCACAGAATCACAGAATGGTAGGGGTTGGAAGGGACCTCTGGGGGTCATCTAGTCCAACCCTCCTGCCCAAGCAGGGTCACCCAGAGCAGGCTGCACAGGACCTTGTCCTGGCAGGTCTGGAATATCTCCAGAGAAGGAGACTCCACAACCTCCCTGGGCAGCCTGGGCCAGAATTCATATAAGTAATCACTTAAAAAAACCAAAACACAACAAAATGAAGCCACAAAAAACCCCACCGAAACAAAAAACCCTGTAGACATTTAGGTCCCAATCTCAACACCAGGTCTGGATTGACGTTCTCCACCTTGGAAGCCAGAACGCTCTTGGCACGCGGCTAATGCTCACGTTTCTTGGCCGTATCTACCCAACGCAACAGGCACCAAGCTCCTACAGAATCACAGAATGGCTAATGCTCACGTTTCTTGGCCGTATCTACCCAACGCAACAGGCACCAAGCTCCTACAGAATCACAGAATGGTAGGGGTTGGAAGGGACCTCTGGGGGTCATCCAGTCCAAGCCTCCCGCCTCTCTGGGGTTCAGCCACTGTCTCTCGGCAGATCACCAGAGTGAAACAGGGAGCTGCTCCCTCCTGCAAGTCATTTCCCTCCTCAGAGAGAAGCTGGAAGCAGCTGCGGGCGCGGAGACCGATGCTGACGTGGCAACGGGGTCTGGAATGGAGAGGACTAAAGCAGATGAGCTGCTAACGATGAATCAAACTAGATCAGAAAAAAACTCGACTAACTTCAATCATCAATCCTCTTCTAGATAGTACTAAAGAGTTGCCTTCCTCCTCTCTTCCTTTGTCCTTTCATCAGGAAATCCTCTCAGTGGAAAGGGATCCCACACGTTTGTAAGATACAGGCAGAGACAAAAGGCAGACGAAGAGCGACAGGCGCGACAGCCCCGAACGCAGGCGAGCTGCTCCCCGCTGCTGCCCCGGCCTCACTCCGCTGCACAGCACCCGCCACCGGCCACGGGAAACCCCCCCCCCAGCCGCTCCCCACGGAAAGGCAGCTCTGCGCCGCAGAAATCACGCCTTCTCGCAAAGGAAAAATCTCACCTCGGCGGCCTCTCCAGCGGGGGACAAGGTGCAGGTCAAGGTACGCTCGCCCATGCTGTAGGGATACTGCTGCAGGAAGCTGTGCATCGACCGGGCCGCCTTGGGGCTGTCCAGCTGCAGGATGGCCTGGCAGGGAAAGGAGAACAAGCTTCCAAGAACTGTTACTTCACCTTACTTCCCTGCCGCGGAACGAGCTGGTACAGCACGGGGCATCTCGTAGTCCTGAAGGGTTTCAGCATCTGTT